TCGGGAAATACAAAACAAACTCACCGCAACTGACTGCATAAAGGAGTTCCACCCTGTTGGCTTCTTAATTGATTTTTGTTTTGTTTCTGCGCAAGAAGAATGGGTTCGTTCTGTTTCAGCTGGCTCAACTCTCGCGCACGTGGATTACTCCACCCTCTTATAAACAACACTGCCCGGAAGTGACGTCCGAGCGTGCCAACAGCGTACAAGCTCTTCACGAGGGCTGTCGTCTGCTCAGCTAGTTTTAGAAATGGCATCGACCGTTTCAAATGGCAACGACTGTTCTGAGAAATGGCATCGACCATTTCAAACGGCAACGTCCGTTTATGAAAGGGAAATTTGCTGCGCTGACATCGATTGTCTGTGCGAGCGAGAACCACAGTGGACCAGAAACTGCCTGATGACTGGGAGGAGAAGGTTGCAAACTTTCACCAGTTTGTTTTGCGAAGAAAGGAGGAGCTTGGAATCCAAGGAGATCGTGTCTTCAACATGGATGAAGTTCCAATGTCATTTGATGCTCCTTTTCCAGAACTGTTGATGCAACCGGAGCTGAAACTATTCCTGTTTACTGTTGTCCTTGCATGCTCAGAATCAGGGAAGAAGCTCAAGCCAATGGTAATCTTCAAGCGCAAAACAATGCCAAAAGAAAATCTACTGGACGGTGTGGTGGTTCATTGCCACAAGAAAGGATGGATGGACAGAGATGGAATGGCTGTCTGGGGTGAGAAAGTTTGGCGTGCCAGACCAGTGTCCTTCTTTAATAGAACTTCGCTACTTATCTTTGACAGTTTCAGCGCACACATCGATGAAGGCATTCGAAACAATTACAGAACGGAGCACAAAACAACCACCGCAGTAATTCCTGGAGGCCTTACAAAAAAGTTACAACCGTTGGACATTTCTGTGAACCATTCCTTCAAAAACCATGTTCATGAGGAGTGGGAGAAGTGGATGTCAGAGGGAATCCATACCTTTACTGAAACAGGAAAAATGAGGAGGGCCACCCATGCCGAAGTCTGCAACTGGGTTGTGCAAGCTTGGAAAGCTGTAAAAGTTTTGTCCATCAAGAATGGTTTTAGAAAAGCAGGAATTACAAGTGGCACCGACGATGATGCATCTCAGACATCCGACATCAGTGACAATGAACAAATAACATCTACCGCAATTCTGGATCCTGTACTCGATGCACAGTCAATGAACTTATTTAATAGTGACATTGAGGATGAAGATTTTAATGGATTTTGAACTGAACTTAATTTATCATTCAAGTTTCTAACACTCGCCCTGTATAATTTTACTGTTCAATTTTCACTGTATAATTTTATCAATAAAGTATAAGCTAATATTGACACAGAATTGTGCACGCGTCTGAATCGAAAGACTGAAATGTATCACCTTAATGTCACGTTTTTGCCACCAAAAAAGTTGAATAACATAACGTGCAGGTTATCCACCAGTGCAGGTAATCTGTTAACTCTTTTTTTCGCGTATGCAATAATCAGCCAGTGCGGGTGATTTGCATTTCTCAAGCCGTTTGTCATTTTTTTGTGAATATTTAATTATCTTAGCGCAACGCAGCAAAAATAGATCAGGTGACTAATTATTTAAAAACCTAGAAGTTCGTTACGCAACTTACATTTCAAAAATGTCACCACAGATCGCACTTCGAAGCTTACTAGCCGCATATGGAACACAAATTGTAAGTATAATATTTTTCCCGTCGCTTCAACCGAAATCGACATATGTAATAACCTTCTTTGTCGTATTAATTTAATTTTTCAGTTGACTATACTACTACAAGTGCAAATAAATTCCATGTACGGTCATGTATGCAAAAATCAGTTAGTGGTGAAATCTTCAACATAAAGTAGCCCTTCAATCACAGGAGCGAATCAGTCAAAATTTGTTGCAGAAGATTACGCCGAGTTACTAACTACCGCCAAGCTTCGCATTTAAATTCCGCTCACAATGCCGCCGAAGGTAGATGTGAAAACTCTCGCGGGAAAACTCGACAATGCCGTCAAACTCTTGTACGAATTAATGGAAGAATTCGAAACAATTTTCTCCGTAAAACCGGAACTAAAAACACTTGAAGCAGCATTCAGTTTAGTAGAAACCAAGTACAGGCTGGTCAAGAAACAGCAGGAAACAATTCTGGATAGACTGGTCGACGAAGGCACTGGCCCAGAAGACGAACTCGTGTTAGCAACAAAGAAAGCTGGAGACAAAACCAAAGCTGATTTCCTTCAAATCACTTTAAAGTTTGCTGCATATCAAAAGGAACAAAACTCCTCACAAAATTCTAACAATGCGACAACTCTGGAAGCGCTAACATTATCAATGTCGTCCATGACGTCGGCGGTGCAGAAAATGGCCGATAACATCGGATCAAAACCGTCAAACTCAAGTTTACAACGATTACCTGTACCAGTATGGGACGGAACTTGCAGAACCTATGCCACGTAGAAAAAGGAGTTCAGCCATTGGATGAAGAAATACGGTCAGGATAAAGATGAACAATTGCAACGTTTTCGAAATGCAATGTATGTATGTATGTGCGCCAAGATGGCTGCCGCTTACTGTCGTCGTTGTTGTTTTTTTA